TCATCTACATCTAAATTTTCATTCATTAAAATTTCATAAATCTCATTACTTGTTTTTTCAATACTATAATATGGTAACTCTTGTTTAGCATGCGAATTATAGTAAGATGCAAGTTTTTGCATATTTTCAAGTTTATGCAGCCCTAATCTATTTCATCTAGTTCCATATAGCCAACCTAATCTAGACCATACACGTTTAACTCCAGCAGTATGTGGAATAATGGAAAATAATTTTAAAGCTAATTGAACTAAATAAGCTTTATTTTTTAGAAAGCAATTTTCAAGTGAAAACCACTAAACACTTGGATTTTCTGAATCACTATATGAAATATCAAATGGTGCTCCTCTAATACAATATAATTTCATTTGATATAATAATTCTCTTTTTGCAATATCAGACTTATTTATTTCTTTAAAAATTTCATCAGCTAATAATAACAAATTCCTAAAAACTCCATGTTCCCAATATGTTTCTAAATAATTTATAAGTAAAATTTTAGAATTTATTAATAAGAAATATTTAGTAATATAGTTTAAATAATATTAATTTTCTTACCAATATATTTAGGATGTAAAAAAAAGCATAACAAATAAATAGAACTATCAAATTCATTATATCTTTTATTAAAAATAGCAATATACTGATTACGAAATATATTGCTATTAAAATTAAGTTTGTTAATTGCAGCCCCAAGATGAATAAGCTCACAAAAACAATCAGCAAGAGAACAAGACTGTGATTGCAAAGTTATAATTGCTTTTTTAACAGGATATAATATATATGTGAATATTATCAAAAAATGCATAAGATCTTAAAATAGAAAGAATAGCTGTTGAAAGTATATTTGAAGAATTATATTTAAGCTATAATATAAAATAATTAATTATATTAAAATATAAATATTAATAAATTAAATAAAATAAATATAGTTACGCTTTTCTATAATTATACTATTTGCTTTATATAAAAAAAACATGCTTATAAAATTTTAATAGTAATATAATTATATAAAGTTTTTTAATAAATATATTGCCAATATTTATTAAAAAATAGTGCTTATAAAAAATATATAATTATATAGTAGAAAACTATAAAGAAGAATAACTATTAAATATTATTTACCATATTTTCGCATAATAATGCTTATAGGTGTTATTTCAAATAATGGCCTGAATTAAGCTTAATTTGGGACAAAATTTTGAAATTATACCTTTGCACATTATTACGCAAAAATACGGTAATATTTTTTAAATTTTTAATAAAATAATTTTATTAATAAAATTCTTAAAACAAAATATAATTATAAAAAGTTTAAAAATATTTTAATATTAAAATTTTTAATTTTTTATAATTTTATAAATAGTTTAGAAATTTTATTTAATAAAATATAAAATTATTATTAAATATACTTATATTTTCTAATGCTTCTTTATGATTAAAAATAGAATTAACACAATCATATATAGTATACTATCTTGTACTAACATATTATTTTAAACCTCCACCAGAAATATTAAGTCTGTTTGCTTCTTCTTTTAATCTTGCACCTATATAAAAATATATTAATTATATAAATTATTTAAATAAAATTTGTAAATTATATATATACCTGCTTGATGACTTTTTTTAAAAAAAGTTACAAGTGTATTGCATTTAGATAAAATTTTATTTGCAAAAGGTAAATTGCAAATATCTTTTGAAATTAGATTTATAGCATGGGCTATATAGCGAATATTTAAAATATATTTATATTTTGTTGAAATAATTTCTCTTGCATTTTGAATATTTGATCCTGCATCAGATACTATTGCTGAAAATTTATCACTACCAATTATTTCAATTATTTTTTCTAGTTCTTTGGCAATTAAATTTGCAGTATGACTTTGAGCTGATAAATCCTTTAAACTCCATAAATATTCACAATGATCTGGTGTATAAATAAGAAAACCCCAAATTGATTTATTTGATAAATTTGTCCAACCATTACATGTTATAAATATAAATGTTATTAATATTATATAATTTAAATAAAATAAAAAATTAATTATATACTATGTATATAGACACAAATATAATTTTGTAAATCTGTATCTAAAGTTAAATTTTTAGAATAGTTTAATTTTTGAATAATTTTTAAATTAATTGCAGATACTTCTTGAGAAAAAATATGTTCCGAAAGAACTTTAGAAGAAGGTGGCACATATTCTGGTTGTAATGTTTTTAAAAAATCAATAAAAAATGGATTATTGATTATTCTCTACGATATGCCACATATTACAAAAGCTTTAACACAAGCTTTATTAATTTCATTAGTTCTTTCTAATGTAAGTTTAGAACTTTCATTAAACTCAGATATTTTTGTTTGATAAATATTTTTAATAGATACTGCTCTTGGATTTTTAGATCTTTTTAGAACTTTGGTTAAATATGTTTGCTTAATATTGCTTGGAACATTAGGACAATTGTTAGCCAAATGTTCTTCAAAGTCTTGGGGAGAACCTTTATGTTTAAAGTAAGAACAATAATTGCAAGTTTCTTGATAATGTCCTTTAGAAATTTCTTTGCCTTTTTTAATATGGATATCCCAAATACTTGCAGGTGGTTTACCTCCTATATTTTTATTTGCTTGAGACATATTTATAAATAATTTTAATTAAATAATAAATTAAATTAATTAAAATTTGTTTTTTAATAATTAATATAAACTGCTATTTATAAAATTTTAATAATAATTTATTGCTAGTATTGCTTGTTTTGCAAATAATTATAATCAGATCTCTCTAAATGCATACTCAAATAGCAGCCCAAATATATACTTAAGCTTTATAAATGCACTTTTTCCTATTATTTTCTATATATACATTATTAAAGTGTAATCCCAAGAACATATACTTAAAGAGATCTGACTGTATAATTAATTGCAATTATAGTAAACAATTAAAAATTATATATAGTCAAACCTCTTTAAAATATATCTTTTATAAGTACACATTCTCTTTAAATATATACTTAACTTCCATAAATGCACTTTTTTTTTTATTATTCTCTACATGCATATAATTAAAGTGTGATTTCAAGAGCATGCATTTAAAAAGTTCTAACTGTACTTGGCTGGCATTTGAGTGTATATTTAAAGAAGTGTGTACTTATAGAGGGTGCACTTAGAGAGGTTTAACTGTAGTAAGTAAAATAAGAAATGAGTTGTATTACTTGAATATGGATTTTAATTTTAATAAAATATAAAGCTAGAATTTTGTATGGCAGTTTATAGTATTTGTTTTAGGGGAGTGATATTTGTACCTCCCAAATTTGATTTCTATACTCTATATAAATTAAAGTTTTTTTGAACTTTAAATGAAGTTATCTTAATAACCACCGATGAATATGTAGAATTCAAATAAAAAAAGTACATCGAAGTTGGCCTGGTGGTTGTCAAGATATCTTCACTTAAAGTCTTAAAAAACTCAAAATATTTATCAATGCAAAAATTTTTTTTATTATTGAGTGAAGATAACTTGGCAACCACCTAGTCAACTTCAATGAACTTTCTTTTATTTGAATTCTACGAATCTATAGATTCAAATAAAAAAAAAAAGTTTATTGAATTTGGCATGGTGGTTGTCAAGATATCTTCGTTCAAAGGTTTAAAAATATCAAATGCCTATAATAGAAATTGTATTAAAAATTTTTTCAATGTTTAAACGAAGGTATCTTAACAACCACTTAGTCAAACTAGATGGGATTTTTTTTTATTTGAACTCTACAGATCCGTAGAATTCACATAAAAAAAAGTTTAATGACTTTGAATTGGTGGTTGTCAAGTTATTTTTGCTCAAAAATAAAAGAAATTTTGGCATAGCTTCTGTTTTGATAAACGGTTTGAGTTTTTTAAGACTTTGAGCAAAGATATCTTGACAACCATCAGGCCAAATTCAATGAACTTTTTTTTATTTAAATTCTACGTATTTATAGAATTCAAATAAAAAATTTTATCAAA